CATAAAAAGCTTCAATTAATCTTTTTATGTTATTCCTTTTCTGTAAATCTTTTTCTTAATTTATTATTCAAATTCAAACGCTCTTTCTCACACTTTAAAGTTCACATCCTGTCTTTTAATCTATTTTTAGTTCGAGTATGCGATTTTCCCTCTGACTAATTTGTGGGAAAGACTTTTTCCCTGAACCCATTTAACAGACCAATAACAATTACTAAGTTTTCCCTTTTTCCCTAAAACAAAACATTTTAAGGATTTACTTTACAAGATTTTCCCTAACTTTTATTAAGGAACACAATGATTTCGAGTCACTTTGATAACTGTTCTCACTCTAATAATTGTTAAATAAATTTTCTACCCTTTTTTCCTGCCTAAGACCTGTTTTTATATTTCCACTTGGCAATGACATTATGTATGCATATATATATGCGTATATACTCTATATCTCGGTGTGTAAGTCGACTGCTGTCAGTAATTTGATTATAATTCCTATAGATGTCATGTATCAATTTATGTTAGACGTGTGCAAAATTTAGATTCAAATATTATTGTAAAATATTTAAAAAATGTGAAATTTTGAATTCTTTGGATGGGGGGGATGAAAACGATTTTTTGTTAGACTCAGCGGCTGAGGATGAACTTTAATACATTGAAAAGTGGGATCTCTAAGACAGCACTGCTAATGTTAATGAATTCAGTACAAATGATGTTCTAGAATCATAAAACTCCTAGTTTTATGGTATGCTTTTAAAGTTTTTACTGTGTTATATTTTTTTCAACTACTCTTGAATAAATAATCTTAACTTTTCTTATTCTGAATTTCTTAAATTATACTGATTGTAATTTGAAGTATTGTTTCTAAAAAAATCTTTATAGGTGAAGAAAAGGCAGAATTAATTGCATATAATAAGATATTAAAAATAGTTTTTGAAAGGGGTAATTTGTAAAAGTAAATTGGTATAGAGTTATTCATATCTATCTCATTGTTTGTAATGCATCAATATTTCACGATCAACGAATGTCCGACTTTATTACTTGTGTACCAGTTGACCTCCTCTTTTTTGTTAAATTTTGGTGGTATGAAAAGTCGACCTATACACCAGCATATCCGGTACTTTGATTTGTAAATGTTTTGATTCTAAATGCTTTTTCTTTATTTATATTTGTGTTGGATATTTTATATGACCTCTAGAATGTACTCTAAAGCTTTAACATTGAAAAACCGCTATTGAGTAATTATAGGAGTTTTGTATTTATTTTATCTTACTTTAAGTCTTATGAACAGTTATAAATATAATTTAAAATTTAAGAAAAGTCTTTAAATTAAATTATTCTAAAATAATTTTAAACTTTAAATTTTTTGAAAGTGTTTAATGTTTTTAATTTACATAGAGCTTTAATTATTTATTTGTTTTTATAGATTGTAACTAATACATCTTGTCCTGATACTTTTATGCTGTTGACAATTGATGCCCGTTTAAATCGAACAGTAAGTTGTATTGTTTACTCCAAATATTTGAAAATTTTGTTAATACTTTTTTTTGTATCAAAAATCAATTTATTATGTTTGTATTATAAAAATATTTAGTACTTACATTGTAGCTAATATCTTGTGTGAAAATTATTCAAATGTGAATAAAACTTTGGTTATTAATGAAGTAGGCCTTGGCCCTCTATGGGCTGTCGCGCCACTGAGTTTAGTTTAATTTTCATGACACAGAGCATTTGGAGCTTGTTCCAAATTTCTTGAACTTATGAGAACTTTCTGATGAGCAACGGTTTTTAATCGTTTAATGGTTAGTCTTTTGATCGATTCAATTCATAATTTTCAGGTGAATCAATATTTTAAATATTTCTTTGAGAAAATTAAACTATAATAAAAACGTTAAACTCTTAAAGAGTAATAAAATACAATTTTATTTCTACAAACTTATGAATCATTTGATCTTTCTACTTGAAATGTATCATCAAATTCTCATTTTCTAAATATATATTTTGTGTAAATTTTTATTTGGATGAAAAAGCGACAAATAAATACTGTCAGTGTAGCATTGTAAAATATTTTACGTTAAAAGGAAAAATTTGTCTTCAAAATATTGGAATTCCGCACAAATTCATTTATTTGTAACAAAAATAGAAGGAAAGAATATCTCCTCCCTTCTCTTAAGGTGAAAGCTGATTAAACTTTTCAGTTTATTTTCAAATGGCACTGTCAGAACAGTTTAGATCAAACTTCAAGAGCTCTGTGTCGGAGAACTGACCCAATGACTATTCTAAAATCAGTAAACGAAGATACTGTATCCAGAGGCTCTGGATTAGGTACAAAATTAGGCGACTGTTGTTTGGTAAAGATAAAATGCCAGATTTTGAACTTAAGAATTAACTGTCATGGCTTCAACATTTAAATTGCTTTCGAAATAATAATGCTTATTTCTCAAAAACAAAACAAATGTTGCTTTCTGTGTCTTTGGTTCCATTAAAAAACAACTATTTGTTTACACTGTACAACTATTAAATTTTTTAATTGTTTTTTTTATTACATTGTCTTTTTTCTTTCATCTACCATAAAATATTTGCATTAATCAGCTATTGTAGAAATTGCTTCTTTGTGATTTTTTTTTTCCAAATATGAATTAGTAAAGTGTATTTAATCCTTCTGCTCTGTATCCTTTTATATCTATTTCTTCATGTCAATTTTTTTTGTGATAATTTGAAGTATCAAAGTTTTTTTTTTTCTAGATTATTTATAATTATTTGCTCTTAATATTACTACTCATTTTTTTATTTTATTTTTGTTTGAATTAGTCTTTAGCTCCATTTTGTCAGCTTACCTAGATTATGTAATACTGTTTACTTCTGTTAGTATAACCGATTTTAACTTGTGAGTACTTATACTGTGTGCCCTCAACACTAGCACTAATCTGAATTTAAGTATGTTAAGTAGTTTTCTAAAGTTTAAAGGATGAGTTTGCTTAATTTTAATTACATGTGCATTCATTGGTTGCTATACTACAGCCCTCTCTCTCAACCAGTTGTGTAATTAATTACAAGACTAGCTAAAAACTTTACTCCACTGTGCTTTGTTTCTTACGTATGCTCAAATTTTAAAAAAAAATGGATTAAACTGAGTTTTCACAAACTTTAAAAGGAAATTAAATTTCTTACCAAACCTATCAGATACTTTTTCCTGACATTTTTGAATTTTCAAAACATTTTTGGGAAGTTCCTCCTTAAATCCAAGTCATGCTCAACTTAGTTTTATGTAGACTTTTTAATAAAGTTAATATTTATTAAACATTCTATTTATGCCAGGGCTGGCATGAAAGGAGTTAGATTGTAAACTTATTTGCAAAGAATTCCATACTTTATAAAATTTGTAGAGATAACTCACAAAAATGCTGTCACTACTCAAATTAAAATTATAACATTAAAAAATATACATTTTTATAATATTGTGTATTTAAATTATGCAGAAGTGTTGTTATTAGAGGCCATAATGTCATTATTAAAACATTTGAAGGCTACCACCTTTCCTTTTTACTTCTAGGAATCCTAAACGATGGATGCTACTGAATCCTAAACGATCGATGGGAAAACTTTAACTTTTAAGAAACGTTCATTAGCTGGTGTAAATATGCGAATTAAAAAAGAAAAAAAAATTAGTTACTTCAGAAACATTTAACGTAAATAAAACCCCTTCATTGTTTCATCAATAAGTCTTAAAATTAGGTTTTATGTTAAGCAGTTGAATTTGCAAATCTACAGAGTCTATGTTTTTTGTATAAGTTAATATCTGTATAAGTTAAGTCTAGTAGTTTTTGATGTTTAAGTAGAAATTGGGTAAAACAAGCTGAATTATAATTTTTGAAAAAGAACTGTTATAAATTGTGAGAAAGGTTATAAATTTTTTATTCTTGAATTTGATTTTGAATTTCAAAATTCGATGAAAAAATATTTTTTTTTTAATTTTCCTATTGCAATTTTATGAAAATAGTTTCATAAAAATAACCTTATTATTAGATAAATGACAAATTATTGTTTGGATGCAAACCTATTACAGGTTTCAAACAGACTCTACTATAGGTTGCAAACAGACTTTCCACAGAATGCTAGCGTTATGCAGAACACTATTTGGAAACCACTGTTCTAGAGCATCGATTTTTACAAATTGGCAAATTTTTTAAATCTTATATACATTAAATCATCCTTTAATTTATTTTTGTAGGAACTGAGTCTAGTCCTTAGAGAACCTTCAACTGACTTATATGTCATAGAAGATAAGCCAAATCAACGAGTTACTGCAATTCAATCCCTTGTTGAAGGATTTGTGAATGTATTAAGTTTTCATTTATGGACTTGCATGTTATCTGCTCAATAGATGTTTTTATGTTTCTAATGAATCTGGTAAAATTAGTTGTAAATAATCAAAAACATATTTTTCTACATCTATTCTTTTACTAGGCTACTATCTGCTCTTAAAGTATCCACAAATCTATCTCATACTGGTTCAAATAGTGAGTGATGATATCTGATATTTGAACTAATATTTTTAATAGTTTTTGACTGTGATTTGTAGTGTTTTTATGTTTATTTGATAATAAATTTTATTTATTATAATTTGATTATTGATTAGACATGTTTCTATTTGTGTAAGTAGTAAAATATTTCTTTTTCATTTGTACAAAACTTTAATAGATTAAAAAATATTTTTTTATTGCCTTAATAAATAAAATTACACTCATTTTGTAAAAACATTAAAGTGTTTTATTAATTTCATTCAAGTTAATTGTTACTCTTACTTACTGCTCTTATAAATTTTTTTTTCAATTATTTCAATTTTGTTTGAAGGAAAGGAAACTGAGTTTGTTTATTATATTCAGTTTAAACATAGGTTCTGAAAACTTTATATATCTATATATTTTTGTCTCAATATTTGACATATATTTTTGTCTCAATTTTTGTCTCAATATTTTTTTGTCTACTATGTCTCAAATAAATTAATGAATTTATTTAAGATTGATTGCAAAATATTCTAATTGATTGTATAGATTTTGGCTACAGCCTGTACAAAATTGAAATACTTTTTCAATTGGAAATGTGTTTGTTTGTTCCTATTTACTGTATATTTTATACTTGTAAATAAAAATTTATTTAGTGTATCACTGTTTACATCTAGTTTTTTTTAAAGTAAAATTTAATCTTTTAAGTGCTGTTTATTAGTGCCAAACATCAATCATATTGATTTTCGGTATAAGAACTAGGTTTCAATCATTATGTGAAGTTAAAAATCAATATAATGAAATGTAATTATCTGTTTTGAAATAGCCATAAATTATCTGTTTGAAACTGCAGCTTCTTGAAATATACTAATATACTTAAAACTTGTTAAGTTAAAAATCATTATAAATTTTAAAGTTTTTTTCTTATTTTTTTAAAAAAAAAAATTCTGATTTCATAATTGTTGAATTAGAAATATTTTGATTATAGTGAAGATTTAAACAACGTACCTAAATAAAATTTTCAAAATTCATATAATGTACAAAAGCACAAAATAAAAAAGATGAAACAATAAAATTTTAAATTCTACTCCGTTTTTAATTAATTGACAATTGCAATTTTCTACCTGAATCTGCATCAAAGCTATCTCATATCCTTGAATAATTTTCTTAGATTTTTCAATGAATACTGGAAACTTTATTTCAACTTTTCCTTCAATTGTAAATTTATCTAAGGAACCTTTTTTATATTGAATCAGCTTTAGAATTATCTGGTACATTCGAAATAAAATATTTTGATTTTAAGAAGAATATTCCTAATTAGACTGAGATTCATAGCTAAAATTAGTATTTTATCCTTAAGTGTATGACTTTTGTTTTTTTATTCATTTATTTAGTTACATTTCTCCAAGTCATTTATATCAAGAAATATAAATTAATTAAATTAGCATCATAACTGCCATATATTTTTATGTATCTTACATTGACTTAACTACTTGTAATAAAAAATTAAATAAAGAACAAAATCTAAAAATCGACGTATAACAGATTCTGTGCGTCGTATAAACGATATATTTTTACATTAAAATGAATAGGAATGATTTGGGACCACACTAAAACGTCGTATAAATGTAAACGTCGTATAAGTGATCGTCGTATAAACGATGCTCCACTGTATNACCCTTCATATATATATATATATATATATAAAATTTACATGTATAAAATTAGTGCTCCTTGGAAGAAAACTATTGAAATAGCTTGAGCTTATTCAAGCTCTGTAAAGCCTGCGTCTATGGTAATAAATTTGCTGAAATAGTGAATTATTCAGAGTCAAGAATACAATTACAGTAAAATAAACATTTATTTGAAAACTAAGAATTTATTTTATCTGATATGTACAGTTTACAATAAGGATGTGATTACAGCATATTTTTATTAATTTCAGTAACATAAAACGTCACCTAATTACCGGAATTAAGGTGAATTATTCTAGTTTAAAGTATACACACATCATCATTTTGTTTGTTCTACATATCAAAGTATATTCTGCTTACATAAAAAAATACTCAAGATCTAGCGTTTTAAAAGGTACACTATAAAGGTCGCAGAAATTATAGCATACACAGGGACCATATAAGAAAGAAGAGAAAAAAATATTTTTTTTATAAAGTTCCATTAATATAAGGCACACGTCGGTCTTCCTTTCACTCAGTCTCATAGGATCTGGCAGTAAAATTGATAAAAGTCTACACGTTTTTTTTTTTAAGGAAAAAAACACTCGTCTCCAGCTACGCAGATATTGTCACTTAGTTCAACTTTCAGCTTTTTGAATTCGTTGCTCCCACTGTGCAATCAGCTTGTTGTGACGAGGGCTAATGTCCTGTAAAGTTAAAAGGAATGTCAATAAACACAATCATAATCGTAACATATAAAGTTACACATTAAGTATTTGCTTTTCGTAATAACAAAGAGTTAAAAAAAATTGCCGTTACTTACAGGGAAAAATAAGTGCTTTAACTGAAAGCGTCATTTTAGATTTTATGTCATTATTTATTATTAATTTTTTGAATCTAAACGGAACTACGAATAATATTTTTTCTAACCCTTTATGAGGCAATTTTTTTTCTAACTGTGCATTGTTATTTTATTTTTGAGATTTATTTATAAAAATAAAAATTCATTTACCTAAAATTAATGTAATTTTTAAGAATTTTTTTTAATTTTTATAAAACGAAAGTTTTTAAAGTTTGCCTATTTTTTATTTTATTTTATAACCGACATTGAACCCAATTCTAAATTTACGACTATCAATGTTATCTCTGTAGAATTATAATTTTTACCCCAATCTAGAAGTAACGGGAACTCCTGGATCAAATAGTGGGACAAAGTAGCCTACGTGAAGGACTTTTCGATGGAACTTACCCGCATGAGCTGATAATTCTCAAAACATCCGATTGTTAGCCCGAAGCCAAGGAGATTTTAACCTATGATCTGTCAACCACTGAGGATATTATACGTCAGTACGGTAGTCGGTGCGAGCCGGTAACAGAATTCGTATCAACTATCCACCGTTAGGTTTCAAACCTGGGCCACCTCATTAGGAGGTGAACGCTCTATCGCCTGAGCCACAGCGGCTCTAAAGTACCTACTGAAAAAAATTGGCACCAAACCTGATCTTTAGTGTTTGCATAAAACCACTTTTATAAATTCAGTGTTTTTAACTACAAATAAATTCGATGAGAACGCGTATGAGAAATTAGCTATCCAGTATAGACCTCTGTTCTTGAGTTTTAAGTACTCATTTGGTATTTTCGCTCTCAGAGGGCGAGTAGAAATATTATATATTTCATGTTTATGCTAGTTAATAAAAAAAATGAGTGTTCAGATCATTTTGCATAATCAGTTGGAAAACATAACACATAATAAGGTTCGGAAATCTTGCGGAGCATCGTTTCTCGAGTTAGCGTATTTTTTGCTCAGGCCATTTTTGATTTTTTTTCTTCGTTTAACACATTTTATTACAATAATTAAAATTTTCGGTAAAATTAATTAGTCATTAATTTTGCATTATTTCCATATATTTTCATTTATCTATATGCGCTTATATATGCTATATGTTTTTGTTGATGCGTTAGCGGAGTAGCACAGTAGTGAGTGAAAGTGTTAACTCACATAAAGAAACTTGAAGATTTAAACATTTCATTAGTTCATACAGTACCATCCCGATACAGCGTACAACTGAAGATATTAAATATAAATACGTCTTAACAAAAATGTTGGTGCATCACCGGAAACAACAACACAGAGACGTGACATAATGAAGAGACAAGACAAGAGCACATGCTTACAACAATGCATGCCTTATATACAGATTCCATAATCATATGCACAGATGACGTCACTTACGTTATCTGAAAAGCAAATATGTGTTGCCAACACACGACCGAAACTTAGTTCTGTTAATTTAATGTATTCAGAGAAGTAACAAACCACTCCAACAGTTTTTATTTATCATGTTATCTATATATTTGTCTATATATTTCATTTATAAATCGTATAAAAGATAGGTGTATAAAATATGTATAAAAGATAGGTGCCTCCAAACCGGCAAAATGTTAAGATTCTTTAAATTTAAAGTAAATAGCGAAATATGTTGTTACTTCCTTGAAGTCGAGATCTTTTATTCTTATTTCGTTGCGTATACCAAAGATTTTTAGTAGTCATGATCCATAACAACGAATGAATCAAATCAAATTAAGTTTTTAGCTTAACTTTGACTCTAAAGAGCTATAATTTGTACTTATTTTATTGATATAGATTTAACATTTCAGCGTCGTTACTTGTTTTTAATATAATTTAGTGGTCAATTATAGTTCTGTAATAAATTTTATAGTCAGAATTAATATTCACATGTCATTTCTTAAAGTGACTCACCTCTTCGTTAATTCCATTTCCATTTTCGTATTCTAAGTTATTTTTCTGGTTCATTTCATGATCTTTACCATTTTCTATTCCATTAGAATTTTCATCATTTTTCATGTGCAACTTTCTGAAATAAAAATAAATATATAATGAATGTTTATTTCTAAAGAAATAAATTAGATGAAAACTTCTGCCAATTTTTTTCTTTTTTTTGAAAGATGATTTTTCTTTTATATTTTTTTTATGAAGTAAATGGATTAAAAAATATTGATTGAACTTTTGAAAATTGCTAGGTATAAAAATAATCGTATTTAAAAAAGTAAAATTTCTTATAATTTTTTTTAAATTTACTCTTATCAGTTTCGTGTATACGGATGTTTTGCTCTTGATAATGGTAACTGCAAACGGCTGCGTGTGTTTTCTACGTGTTTATTTCTGCTTATTAAATTACTACTACGTTTTTCAAGTTAACAAAAAGAATAGAATAATTTTGTTTTAACTAGATCTAAAACGAAAAACGTAAGAGTTTGACTGGGAGAGGATTTTTAGTAGTTATTGTTATAGAAATTGAGTACGGAAGAGGATCTCCGTACGTTTATCGCTTTTGATCTTTCAATTTGACAATTATTTTCTTTTTTTCTTTATCGTCCAATTTAAATGTTCAAATTTTATGTTTCTTTTTAGTTATCTGGTCTGTTAGTTTGCTTAACTAGGAAAGTGATCGAAAATTCGAATGGTGATAAATGTTCTTTGCTAGCCCCCATTTAGGGAACAATTATTGGCAGTTGAATTTAAGCACTCAAGCTAATTGGTAAGGTGACAAAATTTCAATCAGTGATAAACTGTATTGACTGGGAAAATGTCTACATAAATTCTGCTTTCTGGAAACGATTGACAGTTCTATTATCATCGGACTCATAACTCCAGTAGAAAGTTGAGAACTCCAGTTAGCCGAAAACTTGATCGATGATAAATTTGGCGTGTAGAGTTATTTATCAGGTACAAAGTTTCGGATAATATTTGTGCCCGCAAGTTAGTCGGACAGTGGTCAAAGGGTTTCTATTTGGGCGATAAATTGACGATAAGATCTATCTTTAGCGATCAGAAAACGATTTAATCGTGTATTGTCTTCAGGAACAGAACTTTTCAGTAGAGATTGTATTGTACTTCAGCTAGACGGAAAATTGTCAAAATTATGATTGTTAGATTTTTCTCACACATACAGGAAAGCGAATTTATAAAAACGTAGGAATAAATTTTAAAGAAAAATACTCCAAATATTATTTTGAAATATTTTCTCAGTAACGTACTTTAATTCTTCTTCCCTCTGTTTCATTTCCATTATCTCTTGTTGAATCTTAGATTCAACGGAAACATTTCTCTTCAGTTTGACCATGGTGGGAGGCACGGCAGCTGGCTTTTCTTCTTTGGGCAAGATGAAAGGTCCACCGTTCCTAGAGTTTGTGAACGTCGTTTCTTTGCCCTTGCTGGCAATGAACTTTTGCATGCTGATGTTTTTGCTGCCGTTAGTTTGGCTGAAGATGCTGGCCGGCCGTCCTGCGATTCCGGTAGGGGATGGACTTGACCTCTTATAAGGAGCTACATCTGGAGAGTGGCGACCATTGGTGTGGTTGCCATTCGTGAACGATTGAGAATTTCCTGTGAAGAGAATATTACAAAAAATAAACTAATAAAAATGTCCAGATATATAATGATTTAGTATAATTTCAATGCTAATATAGTTATTCCAAATAAGATTTTGAAAAAAACTGAGGACATATTGCTACTATAAAATTCAATTGTAATATCAGGGCCCGCGCTAAGAATTTCAAATTATTAGCCAGTAAAGTATTCGCCAATTTTTGAAAGTCTTTACCAAATGCAAATCTTAAAAAAAAATTTCCCGTGGAAAATTATTTTACTGTAGTTTGTATTATTTGGAACCAATTCTATTTGGTTATGCGGCTCATCTACCGAAAATTTCTGTATTCGAATGAAAAAATACTGATTTGTTTAGAAAAATTCGTTTTGAGGATCGAGTTATATAAATTTTTTTCTTCTTTCCAGTGGAAAAAATTATTCGCTTATACTTTTACCAAAAACAGAATTTTATTCACCAAATTTACGATTTTATCGCATTTGGCGAGGTGGCGAATGCTTAGCGCGGGCCCTGAATATGGTCATATTTTCAAAATGGCTACTTTAGTCTTTATCGTCTCACATGGAGTTTAGTAATTAAAATATTAATTAAATGTTTTGTAATTAAGAACATTTCAATAAAAACAAGTCTTGGACTATTTCAAAATTACTGAAAATTTATTTAAATACATACTTCAAACCTTATTCGTATTGCTTATATTTGTCTATATTTTAATCATAAAGCACGTTTTGGATGAATTTAAATAAGTATCAAAAATGCAAAATTTTTAGCTGAATTCAACTTAAAAACCCACAATTTTTCCAAATGCTTTTCAAATCGAAAGATTTTTTACAAAATTGAAGCTAAATCCTCAAGTTATATTTAGCTTTCAGAAAATAGTAAGATAATAAAAATTGATTGATGTAATATTACTCGACAAATGTAAGAACAAGTATTAATAGAAGGAAAAACAACTCATTCAATTGCCTAATCTAACATTTCACTACAAATTTGTAATTAGTTTGCTGTAACCAACCGTTAGTTAGGGGAGGGGTTGTGCATTCTGGAGTCTTGAGCTTAGCTACTTTGGCATCTGTTCTTTCATGAGAGATAGTCTGAATGCTGCCAGCTTCACGAAGGGCCATTTCTCTCTGTGTCTGTTCTTCAATTTCTAGTTGAATCTTGGCGGTGGCAGCTTGCTTGATAGAAGCACTATTTGTCCCTGCTTTACCAAAAATACGTACCTATGGATTTGGTTTGGAAAAAGGTATGATAAGTAAATACTGTATGTATCTGTAATATATCATATATCATGGTCAATTTTTCAACGCAATTTTCTTAAAAAGATAAAGACTATAGGATAAATATAGTATTCAATTATACTGGCTATTCTGCTTTGTAAGATAAATTCAGTTTACTTTTCACACTTACTTGAGAAGATTTCACTTGACTTGGCTTCACGTAGCTATCATCCTCTCTAGGTGGTAGACCTTTCTGATTTCTCAATTCTTCTTCCCTTTCTCTAGCTAATCTAATTTCTTTCTCAACGGCCGTTTCTTTGGCTGCCATTTTGAAAACTTTTTTTTCCTCTTCAATTATCGGGGGAGATGGGGAGATGGTGCCCTTGTGGCCGAACACACTACTCACGCGATATCCAGTGCCTAACAAAACAAAAGAAAGTCAATCAATAGAGATTTAATAATTAACCATAAAATAATTATTTTATTGAGAATTACATAAACATATTAAATGTGATAAGCTTAATTCTTTTCTAACCTAATTCAACAACGCGGAAACTTAAAGTGTTAATCTAACAGACTGAATTCAAACTGTAGAGACAAAAGTGCTTAGTGACTTTAAAGATCTTAGAAGACGTTAAGAAAAATGCTGTTATCACGTTTGTTCGTTAAGATATCAACTGATATGCTTTATTCAGATGTATTGGTATTTTTTTCCAAGAAAAAGGTTTCACTTTGAAACGATTGATGAACAAAATTATGATAAAAATATATTTTTGAAATCAGAATATAATTTTTGTCGTTATATTTTTAGAATTATTTTAATACTTACTGCTACATAAGTTCTAACACGCAATTCACTCAAGCAACCATTGCATAAGCAATAACTATTTCAGAGTTTAATTTTTTCTTTTCATGTAAAGGAGAAATTTGTATCAGGATTCTGGAAAATTAGATCTGTTTAGCTGTTGTTTGTTTTAATTATTTTTGTATTCTTCCTTTATTTTTTTAATTATTATTTTAAAAAAAAATTACATTTATTGCTTATTCTTTAATTTGCAAAGATATTTATGTACATTATGCCAAAAATTAATCGAAACACCCTGAATAACTTTTGATCTAATGTTCGAATTTTCATGTACTAGGACACAATCTTAATGATTCATGGATGTGACCTCAAATAAGCTTTTAAATTAGTGCAAGCGACTTTTTAAGGTACAAAATCAGACACAAAAAGGTATTTTCTCTGAATAAACATAAATTTTTTTCCAATGAATTTGGATTTCTAAACACCAAAATATAGGAGGTAGGCTCTATCCGGTAAATATGGTCCCATTAGTTTGGATCGGAGAGTGGACCAAAGTTCGGCTGCCTTGATAATAATTTTTTTTCTTTCGTACTTCGCCATGAGCGAGGATTTTTCAAGAGATGTGAAGAAATTTTGAGCAAAATTATATAATTCATTTATCCAAAGATATGTAAAAAAAATTTTTATAATTATTTATTAGTTTTTATTATTTTATTTAATAATAGTCGAGAAAATTTTGAATGGAAAGTTATAAAAAATTGTACACTATTTTAAAGAGTGTAATTTTATATGGCATACTAAATTTGAACGAAAGCGATCGAATATTAAATGAGAAATCGAATTTTAAATCTCCATTTTTTTAAAAATCTTCTTAGGAACTATGCGATCGTTTTCATTCTAACTTTGTATTTTGTCATATATCATTACATTTATTAAAATTATGTAAAACTTTGTTGATTCAAGCTATTTTCGACTTAAATATAATAAATAAATACTAAAAATGAATTTTTGCAAGAATTTATCCTTGGATAAACAAATTTATAACTGGGTAAAAATTTTCCAATTCTCTTGAAAAAGTTCTCGAGATATGGCGAAATACACAAAAGATGAAATTAATCTTAAGGGGCCAAATTTTGGACCTCTCTCCAGACCAAATTATTGGAACCATATTTCGCAGATTGAATATTTTGAGAGTCAGAAATCCGAATCCGTCGAGAAAAAGGCATGTTTATTCAAAGAAAATCCGTTTTTGCGTCTGATTTCGTAACTTAAAATATCGTAAAATAATGTTTATTATAAAAATGTTAATGTATGAAATTTCTATTTGGTGACAATCATAATGTATAAACGAACAAAAATTTCTGAATCCAATATCTGAACAAATATTTAATTATGAAATCTGAAGGTTTTTTCAATCTAAATCAACCATCGGTATTGTTAATACAATTTAATTACTATTTAAAAAATTTGAAATAATTTATTTATCCTAATATTGTTTATATCTTTCTCGTGTTAGTTAATTTTTTTAAATTTATTTTTGAATTTTATTAGACATTTTAAAATATATTTAATTCAATGGAAAATTAGTGTGGATTTCATCCTAATGTGTCTTCAACCCAAGCACTCCAAAATGGCTGCTTTATCTTAAGTGCTCTGCCATCGCGGATTACTTTTCATCGTGGTTTAATTTTCATCGTATTAATGGCACTGAAAAACAATTTTTTTCTGTTGCTTGAGATTTTTGAACAGATCATATATACTTTCCTATATACTTCAAATCAGCAATCGATTTCTCTCTCCAAGGTACAGTTTTTTTTTAAGAATGACATTATTGATCTGTTTTTAGCCAGAATTTACAAGTTTAAAAACGTTATATATAGCAGTGGGTCGCGTATAAGTTGCGACAAACTTCTGGGAGATTTAGAGCGCATAGTCAGGATTAAAATTGTATAAGGAACTACGCCAGAAAATGTCATCATAGCCGCCAGGGGCTCTTCTCGATTAGGAACTGTATCTTCTGAACAGTTCATAACAGGGAAGAGCCCCTAGTCGCATACGGTGATATTTCCGAGCGTGATTTCCTATGCAATTTTGATCCAAGTGATGTGCCTTAACTTCACTAGAAGTTTATTGCAATATTTACCTGATCCCCTAATATATATAACATTTTTAAACTTGTATATTTTAACAAAAATAGACAAAAAAATGCCATTAGAAAAAATCAGTAGCTGAACAGTAAAATTAGTTTCAGATTTAAAATTCCCACATCCAAATTAGGAATGATCGAGTATTAATATTTTTTTCCAATGCCCACCTAGGGAATAACATTTCGTCAATACAGACATCTGAAGGGCATATTTATTGGCTACTCTTTCAGGAGCACCATATTAGGAGGGGCAACGTTGTTCCCACAGTAAGGACAGATAGTACAGAGAATGAAAGAACATCCACGCCTTGCCCGGGATTTGAACCCAGAACCTTTCTGATGCAAGGCCAGTTCCCCAACACCTACACAGTCCAATAGTCTCATGTATATAAATGCAACAAAAAAAAATATGTTCCCCAATGTGAGAATTTTCATTATATAATACGTTAATAATTTTTATATTCCTTTTAACTAAGTCTTACCAGATGGTGTAGGACTGGGGCTTGCACTATCCTTTACAGAAGGTGATGGACTACGTCCTCCTGGACTTTTAGGGGGTACAGGTGATATCACTGGAGAGAGCAGAGCCTGTTCCCTCATAACACGAAGCTCTTCTTCCCTTTCTCGCATTTCTCTGATCTCCATAGCTATCTTGGTTTCTGTAGTGCAGCTGCTATAGGGTTGCTCAGTCTTCTGGACTCCGGGAAGAATACGTTTCAATCCTCCGGATTTCACAAATTGTTCTATTTCAGGATGGTCCTGTTTGTCATCCACAGATGGCTCCGGAGTCGATGTCGATGGTGTGGATTCAGATGCTTCGCTAATGCCTTTAAAAAATTATCTGATTAACGTGAAGAAGTGATAAGTGAAAAAAAATATTGCGTAGTATGAACTGCAATTGGTGGGTACGGTGGGCAATTAGTACGGTTCAGAAAACATTCCTAAGGATAATCCGAGGGCATGTCATCACAATTTTGATTCTCTGCAGAGGGAATGTCGGAACCTGCCGACCCGTCGACCCGTCGACCTGCGCATGAAAACGAACACTTTACGGTAGAACAGTTAAACGAGGACCAATACCGCACGCCCTTGGTCCTTACGCAGGCTGATCAAAGTCGTATAAATAGTATTATAAATATTAACTCATAAATAATATTTTATAACAATTCGAATTAAAAGAAGTGGACGTTAGTCTTAACGTAATGTCTGTTTTATAGTTAATTAAGATTGTTTTTCAAAACAAACTTAACCGAAATATTAATTCATGTAATTTAAATATTTTATTTACTAAAGATATATTGTTTTTTAAGGTGAAGAAAAAAGAAAAGCAGATTTGCGCAGAAATATGTTAATTGCTTTACATTTAGATCGTCTTATCTATTCTTAAAACCTACTCAAAACAACATTTCATAAACAATTCTTAATCATGGTAAAAATATTTATTTTTTAAACAGAGATCAATTTAAAACCTAAATAAAGTATAAAAATCAAATCAAATGATGTAAGTGCACTTTTTCATGGGAAATTTGAAATCGTTTAGGGAATAAATTTATCTTTTTTTTCTTTTTTTTGTTGTTGATATTTTTGATATCGTAAATTTAAATACAAAACATTATAAATCATTAGGAAGATTGAAGTACCTTGTAAAAAATTCCTTGTGAAAAATTCTGTAAAATTCCTTGTAAAATTTTCAGTGTTTTTACAACAAACATTACTGTAAAAATTCAGGTACATCAGAGCTTTTGTTCCGCAAAATTTTACGGTAAAGAGGGATAGCACGGTAAGCTGTAAATGGAATGCACTGTGTCTAGTTTTTGCTTTATCTGTTAATTTATAATCTAATTATAATAAAATTAAATTTATGAATTTTATATATATATATATACACATTATTTTATTTTATTTTTATAAGTTACTTTAAAACGTAATCGTAAAACCTGTATATTTTTTTAAATTAGTCACATATACTTAATCTCATGAGCAGAACATTATCTAGTATAAGAAAAAGTTATTAAAATAATTATATTGTTTCATCGAGCAGTCATTTTTAATTCAACATTTACAAAAGAGAGTCACTGTTTCACACTTATTTGCAATTAACAAGTGGAATGTTTTGCACAATTTATAGATTACCTAAATAAAACCAATAGTAGTTTTTATTTTTACTTCTTTAAATTCTAATTCGCCCCAAAATACAATCGTCCTTTACATTTGTTGATTTAAGGGATAAAAATCCAGAGCATAAATGTATTGATAAGGATTAAATTGCTTTGTAAGTTTGATCATTCTTTTTTCAGATCAAAGGTTTTACGTTAAAAATTTAATAAATTTTAAAAATTCTTATGTACACTCTCAGAAAAATCAGTTCAACGTTATTGGGTTTGTTTAACCCAAATACAGGGGAAATTTGCTGCAATGCTTAATAAGGTATTAAAATAAGCCGTGTTTTCGATCTAGTTGAACGGTAGTATGGTGTAATCAAGAATGAACTTGTCTGATAATGTGACACAATTTGGTACTATATTAAACTAGCCCCACATTTGAACGATATTATGGTTCATCACGCTTTATAATTTCTAACTGTGTAATGAGATCTTATGTAAAATATTTTAATAGCATATAGTTTGATTTTTTCCCCTATACCATTACCTAAATAAATAAATTGATTCGTTGTAAAACAAATAGTTTAGTTACTTACTATTAACACAAGCAGCCTTATGTTCCTCAATATGAACATCTTTTTCAGCAACTTCCGATGGAATACTTTGTGTATCCTCGAATCCCTCCTCTTGAGGTAAGCACTCAGCAAGAGGTACAAAACCATCCCCTTCCTCATCATCATTCGTTGGAATGTCTATACCTTTCATGGGAGCAACAGCTACGGAATCACATTCAACACTAGTATCAACTAATTCATTATGAGCCTCTTTAGTGGTGGAAACAGTCTCTTGAACCGACTCCTCCAATTTTTCCGGAGCCTGTCCCACCACTTCTGTATCAACAAGAGTGGCAGTTGAAGGCTCTTCTTCACGCGTATCAACTATTGAATTAGATTCCTTCTCAGGAGATGCGTTTATTACTGTTTGACCGTCACCTTGGGTAGTTGTGGTCACCGTTCCATCTGATACGGTTTCATTGTGTATTGTCTCCTTGTGATCTTCCGCGGGAATAGCGGTCACTTCTGTGACCTGTTTCACGACGAGGGATGTTTCCAGTTCGGATGTATATGTCTTCTCCTCTACATAAATCTCGTTGTTATTATCGATTTCCAAAGAATCGGCGCTATTGTTGTTCTCTTGGTCTTCTTCGTCTGGGGCGATCGTCTTGGATGCTTGAACCTCTGATCCTTCATGATGCTCTTCGTGAATATGGTTGGCATTGGTGTCATTCATGTGGATAACGCTCTCTGGGAGAGTTTTGGCGTGTCCATTGGCAATTTTTTCGGACTGGAGTTTGGTCGTTTCGTTATCCTGACTTGGTTTTATTATTCCATCTTCCTTCACTTCTTCCACTGAAATTTTGGATTTTTCCTCCACTGTAGAAGAAGGTGAAGACTGGTTGTCATCGGCCATCATCCGTTTTTCCCAAAGTTCTCTCAACTCTTCTCTATGCTCTAAGATCGACGTAGTGTCGACAACAGCTGCAAATAAAGAGAAAAAAAGAAGTTTAAATATAAGCACTTATAATTATTACATCAGTTGTATAATATTATATACAATTGTATACTATATATATAATATTATATATCAACCACTATATATAATAATATTTTATACATTTGATTATTGTATAATATTATTATATCAATGAAAATGGGAATACTATAAAAAAGGGAATCACGTGCAAGCTTAAACTCATTAGAATATAACCTTGTCAAGAAGGAAAAAAAAAAATTGCAATGGAGGATTTCTTTCTGTCTAATAATTGCTGATTTAGTCTTAAAATCCTGTGGCGAAAAATCCAGCCTATTGATAGTTTTGCTCTATATAACGGGCATAATAATAATTATGCACTCAATATTTTCTTTCATTTCAAACTGATATTTTCTCTGTAGAATGTTATTTTTTTAAGTTAAATTTTAAAATACTTCTTGCATACTTACCATCATTTTCCTCTGAAATTATAGCAGACATCCGTTAGCTAAGATGGGATTGAAAACTTTTCTCAAAGGAAATAAAATTATTACGTCTGAGATGGTGTAATTAAAGAAAACGAAGTCTCTAATTTGAGTGAAATCAGTTCATGAAAAATCAAACAAAATAGACTAATCCGCAAGTTCCTATTTCAGGAAAGACAATTATCATTTTTCTGGGAAAAAAATCGCGTATCGGTGAATAATCCTGTTATAGTTCAATAAACAAATGAATACTTATATCGGCATCGATCCCGGCTCATCACGGCTTTTCCGCGTGAATGTCTTTTTAAAACGCATCAGCGCGATTAAAACTTTGATAAAATTTTAGACTTCAATTAATATTTTCTCAAAAACAAATAAAATTTTTACCTAGCATCTAAAATTCTTCATCAAGAAGACCAAAGGATAACAATAGTTAAAACCCGATGCAATGACAACAGTAACATTTATTTACGCATAAGCTGAAGAAAATCGATAATAATTAATCACGCTAAATTAGAGTTAAAATGATTATTATAAAATTAAGTCAGATTGAACGTTTATCTAGGCAACTTACAACAGCTATTATCATTTTGATTAATTGTTAATAAATATAGGTTGTTTAAATTACGCAGTTTTTTTACAAGCATAATTAACCACATGTTTATAGAAGATTAGTGTGTTAAGAAATGTTAACCATAACATGATTTTAATGTGGAAAAAATTATTTTCGATTAATTTTATGAACAGCGTGTAATAAAATTTAAGTGATGCATAGCAAACTATGCAAATATATTCTAGTTTACACATAAAACCAATTCACGGAAGTGTTCTACACTTTCAGAAATTTTAGAGCAAGTTGAACATTAATATTGATTTCACGGTACTCAGACTTAACTTAAACGGAAACATGATTTCAGTTATAGACACACGACCTTCTTATTTAACATGAACATATTATGGTTTCAGATTATTAACGCCGTAAAAGTGCAAGTGTGTGATTTAGCAGTAGCACAACTGTGATCTTATGCTGAAAATTCTCTATTATATGACATTCAATTATTTACAAGATTCTTTATTAGTTTAAAAGTTAAATACATCATGCATTTTTGCCACAATACTGGTCACCTCTCAATTGTGCCAATTCATACGATTCTTAATTTAAAATTTACAATCGGTTAAATAGTTCCTGAAAAATCGAATTTTAAATGTACAACTTCTATAAAATTCCACTTCTCAGGAACTATTCGTCTCATTGCAATCAAATTTTACACTTTGTCTTTTAAAAATGATGTAAAGATTTGTATACCTTATAATTCAAAAATTTTTGGACTATTATTAAATAAAATAATAGAAAAAGAATTAATAATTACTAAAAATTATTTTTTTCCATGGAATTATCTTTAAATAGGCAAATTTCAATAATTGCATGAAAAGAAATTTTGACTCGTTTAAAAGAAACTCTCGAGTAATGGCGAAAACAGAAAAAGTAAAACTAACATTAAGGGGTTCAAATTTTGGACCGTTCTTCTGTTGTTTCGGTGTAAATGTACATCTTAATTTTCTTCAATAAAACTGCGGTCAATTTCCTTCAATTAAGAATTTTGAAATTAAATAAATTCATTTTGCCAGATGTTCTTCCCTGACATTTTAACTGCGATCGTAAACATTTTATCGTTTCAGGATTTCTTATGGAAATGACCTCTTTCAAGACTCATTGATTCAATTGTATTGATTTAATATTTTTATTAAACTATTTTCTTTTAATTATAAACTTTTCTATAAAATGAGCAGTATTTTTCTTTTCCTAATTCAAACAACAACAAAAAATGAATATTTTTTTAAATATTATTGAGCCATATGAAAATAAACATAAAAAAAAACAACCCTGCCTATTTTCTATGTACAGAGTGAAAAAAAAATTGACCATTCTAAATAACTTTTCGTCTAATGATCGCATCTTCAGGTTCTAGGACTCGTTCTTAATGTTTCGAGGGGGTGACTTCAAATATGCTAATTAATTAGCTCAGACAATATTTTAAACTACAGAATCAGACAAAAAAAACATACTTTTTTTTCATCAGATTTGGATTTCTGACCCCCGAAATATAGAAGGTAACCGCAATCTGGGAAATATGACCAATAGCACGGTTAAGAGAGTGGTCCGAGGTTTGAACCCCTCAATGTTAATTTTACTTTTTTGCGTATTTCACCATGTTTCGAGAACTTTTAAAGTGAATTGGAAAATTTTTGTACACAATTATAAAATTCGTTTATCCAAAGATAATTCCCTGCAAAATATAATTTCAGTAAATATTTTTTATTTATTTAATAAAAGTCGAAAGCATTTTGAATTGAAAGGTATACAGTTTTTTACATCATTTTAAAGAATATAATTTTACATGATAAAGTGCAAATTTTGAGCGAAATGAGTCTAACAGTTCCAGAGAAATCAAATTTTAAAAATACGATTTATTTGAATCTGATCATTAGATAAAAAGTTATTTCGGGTGGTCCATTTTACCTTTTGAGCACTGTGCTAAAGTCTGAAACTGTAACATGCTTATTTTCCTATTTATTTATTTTTTGAATGGTGGTAAAGAACGAGAAATCTACATTGCAGAAAAGTGAGTTAAAGGGGAAAAAAAATCTCTACATTTCGTTACAGAAGAATGGATACACGCACTGATAGAAAAAGAATAAACACTAAGATAGGCCAGGGTAGAACAATGTAAAAAAATTGACAGTATTCTTATTTTTTGGACTCAACGCTTGTATGCTCACGAAAAATAAAAATGAGCTACCTTGTGCATCCGCTAGAAAATAGATGAGGCGTGAAAACGACGTGCAATTTACAAAATGATTCTTCCGTAGGATAGAATCTTTCTGGAAATAGATGCATGCAAGATTAATGGAGACCCTTTAGATATGATTATAGTAGATGTTTCTCAAAGAGAAGAGTAAAATAACTTACCGCAAATGGTATGAATGATACTAAATAAAAAGTGCTTTCACCTTTTCCTCAATCAAGGTTATCTGAGACACCATTTTTATAAAACAACACGCAAAACAGTTATTTTATTGCTCTTGTAGCGAGGCTAACCGTGATTTACAAATAACCATGATAATAATAAAAATAATAAGAAAATCTGCCAAATACTTTTATGATAGTATTTTTTAAATAGGAGATAAGCTATTTCCAACTTCTGTAGAAAAAAAATTCTGGTAAAATTACCGTACTGTATGATACAGACGCACTCTATGATTTCTGGTAAAAATAACAATAACTTTGAATAATAAAACTGAAATATACGATATTTAAACCACTTGCTTGATAATTTTTCCGTTTATATGGTAACGGTTAACCAGATCTGGTTCTCAAAACTATAGTTTTTATTACCACACATTGAGTAAAAAATATAAAACTGAAGGGTAAAGTTAACCGAATAAATAGTTTTTATGCCATGCCTTAAGGTGTCATAACAAATTTTTTTACCACATTTACCAAACTTTATCACATATTATGAAACCATATTCAATTGTTAATTTTGTAAAAATCATTACGAAAGCGCTTCGGTTGAAAATTACCGAGCTTGGTGTTCCCATAGAGCCAGAAACACTGTAAACTTTACCATATTCTGATAGCTTTATTCATATTTTTTTTCTCAATGTGAAGCTTAAGCGTATGGATTAAATAGTAAATCAAATAAAATTTGTATGCAGAACAGGGTTCCCAGCAAACGTTACATAGGCTACGAGCGTATAAAAAAAGATCATAAGTAGTATGAAAACAATATAGAATTTTTAGCTCTGAATACTAAAAAGCCTCGAAATAAAACTTTTTAATCATTACTATAGAAGCAGACTTTACCATTCTGTGGTTTAATCAGTGAACCTTGATCAAAAACAAAATTTAAAAACAGGTATTTGCCAAAATTTTTATTTATATAAAAAAAAATTTAATCTGCAATACCCTCGCAAGAATTAAAATTTTTGAATTTCATCATGTCAATTTAGTTACATACCTGAAGTTTCATTTTTAACCTATTGCGTTCCTAAGTTACTGTCAAAACTGCCCAAAATCGGGCTTGCATTGTTTATTGCTATGAAATTAAGGATAGCTTGGTTTAAATGATCAAAGATGTAGCATGATAATGTGCAGATTGCATATCCACCCAACAGCTTTCACTGGATGAGAAATAATGTGCAAAAATTTTGTAAATAGATGAGCTGTTGCTAATTATTCTCTCTTATTAAATTTTTATCACTGAAAAGTTCATTGTCAGCGCATCAGTTAAATGTCAAAGGGACTTGGCTGCTGCGGTTGAGAGCAAAGGTAACTGATGTAGAACTAATCACTCTTTAGAATTTTTCCATTAAGATGCCCGGTTATAAAGAGTGAAGAGAAAAAGAAAAGAACAGTTTATTCACTTTCAGAAAACTCGCAATGCATAAAGGATTTATTCTGAATATTGTATTTCAAAAGATTTAAAGATAAATTTAGTTAGAAGGTTCTTAGAACTGTT